CGTTCGTTATATCATCATCTTTTACGACTCAAACAATCAGTGTTGAACGCGAATCGCATGCAATGTTCCACAATTGGATGATTTATGCGATGAAATCAACTCAATGCATTTACATAATTTGAAATGAGATCCACAAATCAACTGACTTATAATTAGCATTAACCCAATTCGTAAGAGCCTTCCAAATCCTCAAGTCACCAATATGAAGTTTCGCAAATGAGACGGCTAAAGTGGAGAGTGTTGACCATTTCTTAACGGCACCCGCACTTGTCGCACTGATCGTATCATCGTGAACACGTCTCAATAAACGCTTATCCACAAACTCCAATCTGGACATCGATTGCACTAACGTACTCAACTGATTCACCTTAATTCATTTCAATTGATCCCCGCACTCATTCATCTCACACAACATCCACTCTGTGAGATATGAATAATGAATACGAACAAGATTGGCTGATGTCTTTAACTCCAATATCATTTCAATATAATTCGCTGGCGGTGTTGATGTTACGCGAATTGATACGAAACGAACAGTGAGAATAAATAGATGAGATACTGGGCGATAACACGGAATGAGGGTTACCATCGAATGCGTACACACTGAACACCGTGAATCATCGATACGTGAACAATGAAAACGATACCGTTAGTGTGTTGGGATTCGCATGGAACGCAGCCGCTATTAGTGGTAGTATGTTGAGTTGTCGTCGACCACGATTCGCTAGATTCGCTGCCAACGACACCAGTTCACCGGTTGACATCAACGGTAACAATTCTTTGGCCCTCTCCAAAACTTGCTCTAGCCATGTTTGAGACAGATTCACGTTTATCAATAATGATATCACATCACCAGTGGAGTCGACCTCACTGAANTCAAAATTTTAGAACAGAGTGCAACAAGCCACTGAAACCATACCTGGTTTTCAATTGCAACGAGCGATCTAACAAGTCATTCAAATCATCCGGAAGTGTAACGTTATGCGTGCGAATCGCCGCGGCTAAGCGGATGAGCAACGAAACTGGAACGGAGGATAGGGCTGATGAGAGATGAGCGCCGAACGACTTCAGAAGTGACTGATAGAGAGGTGTATTGATGAGGCCGATTGAGATGAGCGATGTCAACGAAACAATTATATCGTCAATTCGCACAGTATCTTTGAGCAGCGGTGCAGACAGATCGGTTAAAAAATTGCTGAAGATCAGATAAAATCAAGAGAGGAACATTACTATTATCATAACGAAAAACACTGGTAGGTTGATAATAACAATAATGACATTTGTACTACTGAAACGATGATGCATTAAAACATAAACCTTTCTAGCCATTTCGCAGTTTCACCAATGCTGTTGTGTTGAAATGAAAGTGAAGAGAAACGCGATAATAGCGCCACTGATGTTTCGGCACTCAACGGTTTGTTGAGTTTTTTACATATCTAAAACTGAGTTTGCCTAATGACAAAAGCGACATCATGGTATTTGTTGTTTGATTATAACGAATGGCATAGGCAAGATTTGTGCAGAATGGTTGGGAGGAATAGCCTCCCTCCTGCTTTGGCTACGCCACTAATCACAACTAATCAAATTTCTAATGAATCAGAAGCTGTTTGTCAAAATATAGCCACATTACGGTATTCGGTTCATTGCCTAGAAGAAGAACACAGAGATCCTTGTATAAATATTACCCAACCCAATTGAACAATTGAAATCTAAACGTGAATTCCTAGCGATTTTCAATCAGCTCATGAACATTTGAAAATAAAATCGAGTTATCACTCCTCCCCAAACAACTAACATAAGCTCTGAACAAAGTATAATCATCTACTTGTTTCAACGAGTTCAGTGAGGGTGTCGACTGGATTGAACGAAGTGTCTGGCTTTTGGGAGGTTGCGTTTGGCTTGAGGACGTTGTTGGGATTGCTGATATGGGATCAGAGGTTAGATCTGTGATGAGAGACGATAACTGAGTGTCGAGTTCTTGTTTCGTTGCTGCCGACGAACACAGTGCAGCAGCGGTGCTTGAGAACGGTTCCGATTGGGACTTGTTGAAAACGTTTGTGAAACATTTCAAAGCGTTGCCATTAGCTGACAGAATTCGCAATGATCCTCGTAACATGTTTTGCGTCCAAATGCCCTCTGATCAATTCAACACCGTACACGAAACATATCTGAACATTAATTTCATCCGATCACAATCAACATTCTTCACCACTTCAGTTTTCAATACCAATTCACATCCATGATTAAAATCACTATATAAATATTACCCAATATATTCTCAACATGCACATCAATCCCATTCACTTATGTTTTCCTATGTATCATCTAATCCACCACCAATGAACAATTGAAATCTAAACGCATATTCTTAGCGATTTTCAGTGAGATCATCACCATCGCTCGGTAAAATGAAATTCCGCGATAGATTACAATGTCATCTTCGAAATGAGAGTCTATCTGGATCATGTACTCATATCAGATGATTTCATTTTTGCCGTACAAATGCTTGAATTCAAGAAAACACAATTAAGATATTATTCTCTATGACAAGGCCAATATATTATATTCTATATGATCTATATAGAATTGAAACAAACCAAAGTTGCTGCTAGCAGATCCATTGCAATCACATTAAAATTACTATTGCAGATTAGAATACGTTCAATGAACATTCAGATATACTCCGTACTGAAAGGGACGACCAATAATCACTAGTGTTCATGGAACAAACCGAAATGATATGAGAGCGTTTATTCTCGTTAACAAAATCAAGCAATAACAATGAACAATAACAATATCTTTCCAAATCACNACCCTATCATTTATTTTCATAACTTTTAAAGAAGATTCGTTCAGTTCACTTTCAGAAGCACGAAAATTGGCTTAATCATCAAAGTCGATGAATTACTAATATTACCTAAAAGCTAGCAACAACACGCATAAACTGACCAAAACTTATTATATATAAAAGTAAAACCGAATGCTAATCAAAAATTTATCAAAAAAAAGAAACTTCAACAGAAATTCACCAATCAAAAGTAAATCAAATCAACAAATGAATAAAAACATTTGAATTGTAATTCGAGGTCGCCTGTCACACTCTAATCAAATCGAAGTATAAACAAATATTAGCATAATTATCCACCCTATCAGCCCTAATCATCTCTTAACTCAACTCCTATCACGTTATCATATCAGCGCTATCAGCAACCATAGCCAAATCCGTTTCTTCGCTAATGCCAATCGTTGACGACAAATGTGTTGAGAGTGCAAGTTGAAGGCACGAATGAAAATGTTTGGCGGCCAATTTGGCCGATTGTAACATTGGCAGTAGATGATCACGATGCAGTTTGTTTCGCAATTCGGACAGCACGATCTGCACTTCCTCACCATCGCCCTTCTCATTCTCAGTCGCAGTCTTATCAGTCGTTAGAGTGGCGTCTTCATTTGCGTCTTCACTCGACAAAATCACCGCAATAGTCAATCGCGGTATCTGTGCTGTCTCTTCACGAGCATTCAAATCCACACACGGTGTACCGTCCACTGCACACGCACACGACGCCGCCGACAATAGGCCACGCATAGCCACTCCACCGTCAGATAACGCTAAACTGGCCGCATTGATACAAGCCGCTAGATGACTGCCATCTGCCTAAATNAAAAAAGACTCAAAGCAGAACTCACTTGAAGAAGTTCACAAAAAATATCGATTTGAGCATGCGGATAAATGTCAATAAGAATCGCACTTTCGAATGCTTTCTCCATCAACCTCGCGAATTCCAATGACCGTCGATCACCTCGAGGACGTTCCTTAATAAGTCCACTCAGATGACGCTCGTTTATTAATCACACATTCAAACACACAACACATCAAATTGGTTTAATCCAGCAGACTTTCCGAAGTATTGTTATCACAAAAACAAAAAACGAACCTTTCGCTCGTTTGTTGAAAATGTGGCCATACTATATTGACAATTGATTTGACATCGATCTTCTTGAGTTCGATTCCTGCGTCGTGGTTCGTGCGGACCGTATACAGCACACAATACCTTTAATGGAACAAATCAACTCAACAATAGTCCAAAGACACCATTTACTTAATGAAGTAGACTATTCCAACTATAAAACAAGTGGCATCGAAATGCGCCTGAACAATTCAAACAGGCAGACACACATCAATACCTTCGTATTGCCTTGTTCCAAGTACGCTGAACCATCTGCCTGAGCATAAACACCTAGTTTATAATTCAGATTGCGAATTTGTTCTGGACGGCGCCCATCCAGTCGGTAACCGTGCTCTGATATCATCGACATTTCTCCACTTCCTCTGAGAAATTATCGTAATTACTATCGCAATTTGGATTATCACTATTCAAATCACGACTCATCATATTGTTATCGGCAACAGTCTATTATAAAGTTATATCAGTAGGGTCTGAATTATGGTGACAATCCGAAATAAGTATCTCCTGGAGGTTTAACGGACTGACGACTAACGTTGGCCCTGTCAATGGCCACCGATTGGGTGTTCGGTCGTTCGCCATTGAAAAAATCTGATCGACTCCCAAATTTGATCTATCACACGGTTTAATTACCAATACTATTATTACTATCAGTCAGTACATCAACTTATTCTATTGTAAATGAACGGTATAGTTTGAGAACGGAAGCGAATGAAAGAAAAACTGAAATTATACAATTAAGTAATACTAACAAAATGAAAGTCTATCGATATTGGTGGAATAAATGTGCCAAAAGTAACGAATTAAAGTGATTGGAGATGAGCGAATTGAATTGGTTGAAAACGCGATTCGAAGTGTAAATTGGAATGTTGAATGGTTCAATTTGATGGCGTTGTGGCAGCAGAATCAGGAGGAGTGTGTTCTGGATTCACGTTGTCGGTTGCTGGAAGAGTTGTGGGAGGAGCAGTGGTCTGATCGGCTGATTTAAAGATAGTCTTCGGTGCTATTTCGGCAAATATCAACATCAACCGACGATTCACATTCATCTGCTTATCAATACCTACAATTTGCCTCATTTTCGAACAATTATTCGCTTGCCATTTTGCTGCTCCAATTGACTCACGGCAAATTCAGAACACTCCTTAGCCATACACGGAAAATCGCACCCTGAGGTTGATTCACCTTCCTTTTGCATGCTTATTTTTAGTGAATGGCTATTGTTTTATACACCTCACATGAATGAGGGAGCCTTCTTGATATGAAACGAATGGAAAAAAGATTAGGGAAATTCAATAATGAAACACGTACAGTTCCATGTACAATTCACTTCGTCGCCCACTAGCTGATGGTTGTTGAACTCACGAACACAACTGTTGAAACAACGTTCCGTTAGAGTATTGTAAACGCTTAGGAACTCTTTTAACTGAAATCAATACGAGTTCCATTTTCTGACCTTGTAAGCATGCAACTGATCTCAATATTATACTCACTACTTCTTAAAATTCTCTCTCTCAAATGTTGCCCGTCAACTCAATCAACGTGGATGAAGTACAATTCAGCCGCAACCAATAAAGTAGGTGATTTTTGTGAGCACACTGATTACCAGTAATGGTCAGCGATTGAAGGTTGCTCGATCGATCTCAATTAAATTTTCAGTTTCGAAAATTTTCTGCTTTTCTTAGCGGTGCTTGAAATTGTGAAAACAATTGCGATCGGCTTCCAAGATATTGATGGAATCCATTTTCAATTCTAAACCGACCAAACGAATCGACCTGGTTTGGCTATCACCATTAACAGCTAGCATTATCACTCACTATAGCTCATCTCTTGCACCTATCCGGATGTATGTGGATGAAAATAAACTGCAAAACCGTGAAAATGCTTCAAGTTAATGATCGGAACAAGCGTTACATGAACATGCCCCGAAACAAACCTGTGTTATATCTGCTATAGTACCAGTCATCAAGTTCTTTGAGCCCAATTGCTGNGTATACACAATAGCCACAAGCCAACTTCTATGAGTGGCCATACAATTTGCAGGTAAACACATATGCATGAGTACAATTCGAATGTGACTCAACAAAGCTAAACACAGCAATAGAATGCAGAATGTTTTACTCGATACTTGAAAGAGTCATGCAATCTTGATACTCAGTGAATGTCGAATGAATGAAATGAAAATCAATGCGAGCACATCAACACAAATATGCGATTTCTGCACCAACACAGTCTGCTCACTGCATTGCGTTAACAGAGTCACATCCGCACAATCTATAATATCTCAAATGTGTCAAATGCGCATAACATCAATATATCATCACATATCAAAATCATAAATATAACCACATCATATCAAATCATCACATAGACTCGTATTAATAAATCGAATCAAATCACACCACTGGATTGCTTTGTTGTTGTTGTTTTTTACTTCCAACCATCAACACAATGTAGACGAAGGAAACAGATGAACGGGCGAGTAACGAGAGGCGAGATGAGACAAGAGTGGAACAGGACAAGATTCCAGCATCGCATTCGATAAACTCTTTCTGGGAAGGGACGAGATTTACTACAAGAATAATAATAATANAAAGCAACACCACACTCATGAAAAGATTTTAAGCTCGATCAAAATTTTAAGTCCAATCAAAAATCTATCATGTATTGCGTACATTTCAATCGCTTCTTTCCCTCACAACATCCCAATGATTCATTCAATCAATCACCGTTCAAATTTCCATAATATCACCATATCATACGAATACATCCAAAATTGATATGGTGATCAATTGATATTAAATGAATGAACAAATACCAATAAGACTATCCTTTAAAAAACTTATCAATTTGATAATAATGACATGAAACAATGAACGCCAAAAAATATGCAAATGATAAGATGTAAACCTTCTTAAGATGTTTGGTTTTTGGTCAAACTGCTTTCAACAAAATAATGTTTTCTGTCGATTATTGGTCAAATTTTTTAAAGAAACTATCTCCTCCACATGGCTGAATAGTAATCAACAGATTTCTAACCCGATTATCATACTCAAATGACCAGGCAGTCAACCCCTCCCGATATTTCATCGCATTTCTATACAACCAAAACTTTTCTACTGCTAAATCCTGTATATCGAAACGAAAATATCGTTTGGTTCTCTATTTCCTTAAACTACAAGCTAGCCATAAACAACAGCAATAACGAGAACTAAATAGAAAGATGGTGAATGCAAAACAACGGCAACTAACAGACTACGAACGCAATCGGTGAAACGGAATCGGAATGAATCTGATAATTGGCATTTGCATTTCGAATGAAAATGATGAAACGAAAGTGCACGAAATACCGAAAGAGGAAGTTTTACATATTATGTATATATGTCTTTATAACATTATGTTGATGGATATAAATAAAATAGACACCGGTCTTACCACACTCATTGGAGGGAGAAATAAAAGAATATTATTGTCACCACAAAAACAAACAAACAAAAAAAANAAAAAAAAGAGGAGAGGAGGAGAAAGCGAACGAAGACAGCTGATAATTGAGTGGATGGAGTGATTTTGTCAGATTACCGCTTCGAGATATGCGAGAAGCCGGGTGGTGGAGGCATCCACTGTGGTACTACCGGTTGGTGGTGAGCGTATGAAACGCTCGACGATGACTGTGACGTCGTCGGAGAAGCGTTCATTGCTGCACTGGTTGAGAGCATTGAGTTGAGCTGAGATTGCGCTTGATTTGATAGTGGATTCATGGGGATTTGGGATGGAGATGACGACTGATTGCCGTTATTGCCGTTTGCGTAAGCGATCATTGCAGCCACAGATCTGTTCGAGTGCAGTTGTTGTTGGTGTTGTGGTGTGCCTGGGGACTGTGACTGCTGGTGAAGAGTTGCTGAGGTCAATGATTTCGTCGATGGATAGCCTATAGAATATTGATGAGGTGACCAATTCAACCATTATAACATCTCAACTTCAACTCAATATTACCAAAAAAAATTTTTCCAATTACAACTGCACTCATTTTCAAAACTCCAAAAATGCCAGTTCAAAAGCACAAACTCTTCAATTTCAAAAAAAAAACAAAAACTTTTCATATACCAGACAGCTATTAAAAAAACCAATGGTTTCTTATTAAATCAGTTTCGAAATCAAAACGTGAAAGACTCATTTCAAAAAAAAAANAAAAAAGCAGAGCATTTTTTATCTCTGAATGAATCATGATGAGAACGCACGTAAGAAAAGAATGTGGGATCGATTGAAAGGCAACATTTGCGAGTAGAACGCGTAAAAACAACCTCCAGTGGAGGTGCCCAATAGAGACAACATATCAAATCAAGCAAAAAACCCACCAGCAGCGTTCAGCTCAGACACGAATCGAACGTTGACGTTCGGTAGGAGTGCTTTCAAGCCTTGTTGCCATTCACTCAATTGCGCACTGTCAATCGACGGTGCTGCCGCCACATTCGATGGTGGTGGAATAGCGGTGTTGTTGTTGGACGGTTGTGTAACGAATGGAACTGCTGAATAGGTGTTGGTGGCTGGTGATGGCGATGCCTGATAGGCGCCATTGCTGTATGCCTGATAGGTGCCGTTGGAGGATAGACCTGGTGGAGGGTCCGAGTAGGGCCGTCTTGATAACAACTGAGAGAGCTGCGATAAACACTTGCTTACAGCCGGATTGGAACCATTGCTTGTGTAGGACGACGATGAATGTAAATGGCTCTGATTTTGAAGTTGTTGTGCTTGTTGTTGCTGTTGAGACGGCAAATAGAACGAAAGGGAATTGGAAGACGATAAGAGATTCGTCTTTGCTTGTTGTTGTTGTAAATCACACTGACCAGCAGCATTGGTTGTCGTTAACATATTCGACGACGACATGTTAACGGTGGTGTTCGATGGCATACTGACCGCATTCAGTGCACCCATGCTCATCATCGCAGCCATATTCATGCCTGCCATCGGCATCGAGTTGAAATAATCCGAACAAGCGCCAGCACCAACTGCAGTTGGTGTTGGCGTATTGTTGGTGCTCGACGTGGTCACCACGCCGCCCGGATAATAGGCGGCGTTCGGTAGTTGAATTGCACTCAGTCTTGAGAGGACATTGCACTGTGGCGATGTCGACGATGGGATGCTCGTCGTTGTGACATACGCTGCACCGTTACTGTATCCGTTCAGAGCAGCAACCGATGGCCATCCTCCGCACTGTTGCATACCAACACCCAGACACATCATCGACGACGGCATTGACGCACTGCTAAATTATTTGTACTGTTAGTATTACCCTCATCATTCCTATTACTATCATTACTATTNGCTATTCAAACCTCTTTTGTAAAGTCGGTTGATGAGATTTTTCTTCTTCCAATAAATCCGCTAACCCTTTCGCTGATTCCGAGAAGGGATCAAATCCTGCAATCGCCACCATCAAATAATAACAACCGCCACCAAGTTTTGAGCTTATATCGGCGATGAAACGATGCCGATTTTGAAACAACCCGAAAGTGCACATGATACTTACAGAAATGATACGTAGTAAGTAAGCAAAAATAACTCATAGACCAAACAAACAAAAGTACGTAATAATTCAAACAACACACATACCAAGCTCATCATCGCTCTGTACACTAAGTTTGGTCTGTCGCTTAACAGGTTGCGATTGGTCAGTGTTCGTCGTTGTTGTCGCTGATATATTATTATTACTGCTATTATTATCACCCGTATTAATATTAGAAGAACTAGATACACATTTATTAGCATCATTCGATTGATTCGCATTATCAGTACTAGCCACTGATGTACCAGATACTTTTTGGCATGATAATGATTTCGTTGAATCGTCTGATTGCTTTCGATTACTCTTCGATGAGTTTGACAAACTCTCATCTACCTCAGCACCATCTGATCGTAGCTCGGTACACGACAAAGACGTCTGCTCTTCTTTTATTATTTGTTTACTCTGAAAGACAGCTATCAATACACCAACTACCCATTTTGTGTCGCGACTGAATAAGTGATACAATTTATAATAATTGATCGTCACACAACTACCACTAGCTGAATATCACTTCAAGCTAAATGCACACTATCACTCCACCAATAATAAAATGCAAAAAAACGCTATTCTCTCAAATGTAATCCCTTCACAACTCATAATGTTTTGTAATCATGAACATTAAATTGTTAGATTCATAAACATATTCCTAATCAATGTTCCTTTACGTATCGAACAACAAACAAATGATACAAATTGCGAATGAAGTAAAACAAAACCTTCTCAATGTTTTCACAACTACTATGTCTTGTCGTATCGTTGGGCAACGCTCGTTCGGGCGATGTCCACTGCACCAGTCGTGATCTGAATTCATTGCTGTTCTTATAGAAAACTTCAACTTTTTGTCGAAGAGACTCCTACCGCCATTGGACTCTTTCCGCAGGCATTTTTTTTCCTTCAGAAGGAAATGAAGAAGCCTTAGCAGAGATGGATTCGCTGCTCGTCACGAATTTCAATCAGAAAAATGCAACGAGAAACGAGAGGATAGGCAAATCGAACTGATAATGATCCGCAGAAATATCCTATCTATCGCTATTGATAAGCCAAAGATGTCGCTTCTTTACACCAATAATTATGCTTACAATAACGATAACACTGAGTTTTCAAAACAACAGATGAAGCGAAGCACATGGCGGTTTTATAGTTAATCACAACTACAACGTTTTTAAATGATCCTCGCAGCTGTGGTCTATACCCTTCCCGATCATTGCAGTGATTCGGCACTTTTCTCTGTCATTTACGAATCAAAGCAGTAGTCATTCGACAGGACTGAGATATAAAATGTCCGCATAAGGGTGGCAATCATAAAATGGATATTTTGGAATCAATTCCCCAAAAAATCAATTCAGAGTTCAAGAATCACACCTCAGTGTATTTGATGTAGGCGAATGATGTTGCTTCTGATGTTGTTTTTGTGCCTTACTCGATTCACTCTTGCTGCAAACACGCTGCTGCTGCTGCTGCTGAGATGTATCGTCATCATCACACGAACTCACACTCATATTCTCATTGATACTATTATCACCGCCACTGTGATTACGATTATGACAATGAGAACCAATCGCTGTCGATTTCGTTCTCGTTGTTGCATCGTCTTTAGTTCGTTTTATATTATTTATGACCTGCAAGCGCAAATCATTCCTCCTTCCTCAAACAAATCAAACAGCTATAAACTTCATGTTTTCATCGTCTATTCCTATCGTTCCGAGGATGTACCTCAATATATAACATATGCATAACCGCTGCGCTGTTCTCATCAAAAACGATTCATCAAAATATGGAGCGAGTCAAACACTTGATTCAATTTCTGCAGTTGTCGATATGCGCGAGGATAATGCCATTAATTTCTCGAACAAGTGCATTTCTAAGAAGATGTATTAAAAGATGCGCATACATCGTAGAACTATCATGAAAAGTGCACAGTTACATGCATACTGATGTTTACTGCATTATCAACATTTCATTTTGTCGACCTCAACCATTCTGAAGCCTATGTTATCCTCCTATATAATCACAAAAATCTAGCAAAGTATCATTTGAAGGAAGGAAAGTTGAAGAACTGAGCACCGAACCGGTTTTGAGTTTTCATCCGATCCTCCAGACGCCTCTCTACTGTGATGATGACGATACTGATGATGATTATTCAGATTCGATTCCACCGATTTATTCTTCGTCATCTCGTTATTCGGTGTACGATTCGTCTTCTCTCTTCAACAATACAGCACCAAATCAACAAACCATTTGATCTTATATCTTATCAAAGGCACAATCAATCAATATAGATCAATCAACCAATCGATCACCTATCATTTGATCGCTACCACTCAACCCATCCAGAAACACAATCGTGCTTCATACTGATCGCATTCGTACGCAAAAAGCAACAACGACACGAACCGTGAGGTAATAACATCATTCGGTGGTCTACTTCCCGATCGATTGGCACGTCTCGAATTACAATTGCTACTTAATGACGAAGACGATGATGATGTTGTGTTCTGCTGTTGCTGCTGCTGAGTGATGTTCACTGCGGGCGTTTTATCTGTTGAACCAGCTCCACCGCCACTACTCACATGCGTTGACAGGGATGTACTCCGTTCTGCACTTTTACTTCTGAATGTTACTTACTCTCAATTACTCATCTTTAAGCTGCTTAAAAACTCTTTTCTATTCGTAATTCTGAACCAATAACAATTACATTCAGCTAGTGAATAAATTACATTATCATCAATTCGCTGATAATATTCAGACAGTAACATCTTGAACTGATAAACAAATCAATATCAATATGAATAATCGATAATGACAGACAAGTGGGCTCTGATTCCGAAAATGGGACTTCACGCATTTCCATTCAATAGGAACAAGATGTACAAAGCCGAATCACATCTCACACGGAATATCTACTATCATGTCAGCACCTCCTATCAGCTTATAATCGGCTCAATAAGACGAACGCCGCTTAAACATCACACCTTTCAAAAACACTCAATGAGTCATCAGTTCAAAAAACAAGTGTAATTGGTAATCAATTAAATACGATATATCAAAAGCAATTCCATACGGTATCAATAACAGGAATAATAAACCATGAACTCACTGTGAATGTTTCTGTCGATTATTCGCGATAAGACACGGTCTGTTGGTATCCTTCTGATTCGCTTTATCTTTCAACAGTGTTGTCTCGATGAGTTTCTTCTCGTATTCAGCATGCTTACCCAAATGCATGTCATCCTTCGTGAAACTTACTTCGTTATCAGCCACATCATGCAAATACATACACTCCTAAAAATAATCCACACTCATCTACAATCACCCCAACAATCACCAAAAAACTGCAATATTTCAATGATCTCATATCACCATACAACAACTTTTCCATCTTGATTTCATTCATCACCATCCCCACAAAAATCCACCTCAAAAACCCAACGAACAATCGATAAACAATGAACAACAACTCGAACCGGTTTATGACACGGCTGACTCCGCAAGAAACTCGAACAATACTTCGTTGTACCTAACGACGCCTTCACAATACGACCATCCAATTGTGCGTTATTCACTGACTTAAAGCAAACACCACACCATCAAGCTTTCGTCCAATTCAGTCATTTAACACAAAAAAGTGCGGCTCTATATGAGCAAACACCAAGTAAATCACTCACTATCAGCACAGTTCCAATTCTTCACAACACAATCATCTTCATCATCTACTAACCCGTAGAATTGCAACTATTTTGTTAAAATCAACTCACTTACTCACATGATTCATAATGAATCACCACCGCAAAATGAAGCAACCATTTTAAGGATCATAGGTTCAGTTTAAGAATAAGCATCCAAGAATACAATTCCAACAAAGATGAACGTCATCATCAATCAATGATAACATGCGTGCAAGGGATGAACCTTCTAGCTGAATTTTTATCCCAAATCTTTAATGAAGTAAATTCTGATAGTGAAAAATAAAATCAACAATCGATTAGAAATTTTTCTGCTCTTAACGATTATGCCGTTTTCTTACATACTTCCACTCATACAACAGCTATTAAACTCTTCTAATCCTTCGTCCCCCGCTTCCGAGAATTTCCTTGCGTATGAAGAGAAAGAAAAACAGAAATAAACGAACGCATACATGAATGAAACAATAATCATCAACTCAGTGCCGTAATGCATCAATAAATCAATTACACACCTGAATAGCTCTTAACGCATCCTCGTATTTCGCATAAGTTACATAAGCTGTACAGGACGCTGACTGTGGGCCATTCGACGATGCAAACGACCCAACAGCCACCTAAAATATTTCAGCATCGAATCATATCACAAACGACTTCACGCCTCATAAAAATCACTCATTGCTTAAAACTGCTATCATAAATTATTGCAACCATTCAGCTTCACCAAAAAATCAAATAAATGAGCAAAACCTTAAGAATACGACCGTATTTCCCAAAATATTCCGGCCTCTTCAGAATTTCCGGATCTGCGACCCTCGTCGATAAGCCAACAACATAAACGAGATTTTTCTGTAGGACCCTAAAAACAAAACAATGCAAGTTTTTATATTCCTCATAATATCAAAACTATTCATATTCATATGAACAATCCATAGGTATTCCTGTTCACCAATTACGTTCCATTTCATGTTGTCGAAAGCCCTTGACAATATTTGAAATAAATCAGTAACCTTCTCACATAGACATCAAACAAACACTTGCTTGAAATTACTGCACAGAGCAGCTTATGTTTCGTATCGATTGCATAACGATAAAAAATTATCAATAAAATTCGCATGGTTGAACATCTGAACGAGCGATGCAAAACGAACCGATACGCCGAAAGATGTTTACGTGATTCACAAATCTTCAATCGTTGCTGCTGTTGCTTCTGTTTCTTCTCGGATTTGATCTTCAACAGATCGGATGCCGAAAGCGGCTTAAAGTTCACCGGATTCTCCGGGTACGGTTGTCTACACGCTGGGCACAGCCCATTTTCGTCCGTTCGTAAACGGTGCCAACAGAATCGACATATCTGAACATTCAAATACAAACATATTCCATTCGTCCACTAAATGCACACGGCAAACAAAACAGTCGAATAGCCACAAACATACATTCAGTAATAAAACAAATATATCCGAACAATAATGACAATAAGAATAATGAACCAAAAGCAAATCCAATAAAGGCTCAATTAATCAACAATCCGTAAACTCACTTGATACTCGCATTTGCATGGATAAAAATCGATATCGTCAATTTCCAAAAGTTCCATGCAAAGAGGGCACTGAAAATCACACAACTTCAATTCATATAATTCGAACAAAAATCTTTTCAAATTGCAATCATCATTCCACCAAAACTTTCACTCTCGTCAACAACAGCATTTTCTTCAAAAAAAGTCTGCATTTTCAAAGAATTATTTCGAAACTCGATCAATAATGACGAAAAAAGATTATCGCAAATGAACGATCGCACGTTCAATACTTTTCATATGCTCGTTCCTTTCCTCTTAACAACAATTATCCTAACGTCTTTATTACCACTCGAATCGATAAAACTCAAATTCCACTCATCCACCCATCACAGATAAATCAACGAAAAGTCACCACAACGAAAACAAAAGTTTAAAAGTTGACAAAAAATTTCGAACTTTTCAAGTAAACCGATAGGAACAAAAATTTTGCATTCGATACGTCGTATTGTTCATGAGTAATTATTCAAACATATTATGAAATTCACGCTTTTATCTCTCTATTATGGATCCACTTTATGGGGATACACTAGTCACAAAACTTCTTTTGAACATACCACAAAAAATAATAATAAAACACTCCATGAAAACCTCCCTTCCTTAACTTAATTCGTTCGTTAACTTAACTCCCACCCTTGTCTCATGTCATAAATCCGAATCGATCAATTTTAAAATTTTGACAAAGAATTTTACAATCTCCAAGTAAGTTTTACAAATGGTTTTTTCGATTCATATCCAAGAATGCTCAGAAATTCTTCGTGATTCTATTACATCAACAAGAACACACTAATAGAGTTGGATAAGTTGTATTAATTGACAGATGGGGGGGAAGAGACTGAAATCTAGGAAAACATCGAAAGATTAATTTAAGTTCGCTAACCTCTTTCTCGGTTTGTTCATCACCCGACATTTTAAAAATCTTCTTGTCTCCAATGAATTATAATAAATGAATTGCAACGGTCGTTGGAATCAGTCAATCCAATGCTGATGAACAGTAATCTTTTAATTGATATCACTGATAAATATGATATTGAGACAAATATCAACTTATCAGATACACACTCGAATTTGCTGTCTTGAATGACTAGAAGATGCGATACTGAATGGCTGTGTTGACTGATGAACAGATGATGACCTGACAAACAACTCAATAACAACAACTCTACACCAATAAGCTCGAGGTATTATACTAATACCAATCGTAACGAAACGCGAAATTCACCAACTAAATAAATATCCACATACTACAACAACACGGATCATCCACAACAACGTAGATAATAAACGAACAATAACCACTTTATCGATCCTTTCGGTCAAACGTAATAAACAACGTCGTCAACGATATCGGAGAATCACTACCGTAAGCGATACTACCATAAATTCATAACGAATATTATCAATTAAACGACAAGCGCACAGCGAACATATGATTATTATTATTATTATTATTCGTGTAAGATGGCTGTTCGCTTAACAACCACCATAAAACACAATAAATATAGATTTTTGAGAAAAAAATAGACTATTTAAGCAGTGATCTATCGAACGCATTAATGCTATATGATAAACCCGAGCCGCAAGCA